GGAAGGAGGTGAAGAGGAGGAGGAGGGAAAAATTGAGGAAAGAAGAGGATAAAGAGAGGAGAAGAAAAGAAGGAAAGGGAAGGTAAGGAAGGAGAGTATGGATAGAAGGAGAGGAGAAAAACGGGAAAAACGAATGAAGGAAAAGGAGAAATAGGTGAGGAGGAAAAGTAGAGAAAGGAATCGAGGGAGGAAGAGGTGAAAACAGTAAAGAGGAAGGAGAGGAGGAGAAGAGGGCGGGAAAGGAGGAGAGAAAAAGGAGAAAAGAAGAAGGAGGAAGTGGAGAATAGGAAGAACGAAAAGAATTAGGAGGAGAGAAAGGGGGAAACAGGGCAATAGGAAAGACAGGAGAGCAGGAAAGAGGGGGAAAAGAGGGTGAAAAAGGAAGAAAGAAGAGAGACAAAAGCAGAGAAGAGGAGGAAGGAGGAGTGAGAAGAACAGGAAAGAAGAGAGAAAAGCTATGACGAGGGAGAGAAGGGAGTAAAGGAGGGAGAAGGAAGGGGAGGAAGAGGAAAAAGAAGGAGGGAAAAGGAAGAGAGGGAATGGGGGAACGGGGAATAGAGACGAGAGAAAAGAGGGGAGAGGAGGAGGGAAAGAAGGGAAAGAGAGTAGAAACATGGGGAAAAGGAGAGGAGGAGGAAAGAGAAAGGAGAGAAGGGAAAATAAACAAAGGAAGAAGAGTAGACACAAAGAGAAAAATGAAGAGAACAGGCGAAGAATGAGAAAGAGAGAGAGAGAGAGACAAGACAAGAAGAAGGGTGAAGAGAATAAAAACGAAGGGGAGTGAGAGGAGAGAGAGGAGAAAATAAAAACAAAGGAAGAGAGGAAGAGAGAAGAAAGAAGAAAGAAGAAGAACACCTCCTCCCCCTTTCCCTCCAACACCCCAATCCCCCAACCCTCCACCCCCCACCACCCCCTTCGCCCCCTCCCAAGAGAGACGGAAGCCCTCCCCCCCCCCCTCCGGCCACCCAAGTGAAGATCATGGGCGTGTTATGGACGCGAACGTAAACATGTGTCAGGTGGGGGGGGGGGAGAGACTCGGGTGCAGTGCTTTGACTTGCGAGGGAAAGGAGGGGAGGGGGGGTAGGGGGTAGGGGGTAGGGGGATGTATGGGGGGAGGGAGGGAGGGGTAGGGGGTAGGGGGGATGTATGGGGGAGGGGAGGGTGCAGTGCTGTGACTTGCTATGGAGGGAGGGAGGGGAGGGGGGTAGGGGTAGGGATATAGGGGGGTGTAGGGGCGAGGGGAGGGTGAGTATGGGGGTGTTGGGTAAGGTTTGTAAAGGGGGGGGGGAGGAGGAGAAGGATAAGGGACATGGAGAATAAAGGGAAAGGAAAAAGGGAGGTGTGATAAGAAGGAAAAGGAAGAGGAATGGGAGAAGAGGGTGAGTGGGGGGGGGGGGGGGGGTGAGAGGGAAGAAGGAGAGGGAGGATAAGGGGAGAGGGGGAGAGGGGAAGAGGAATGGAGGAATGAAGAGGGTGAGGGGGGGGGGTGAAGGAAGGAGGAGAGGATGATAGGAGAAGGGGAGAGGGAAGGAGGAGGGGGGGAGAGGGGAAGGAGAGAGGGAAGGAGGAAAGGAAGAGAGGGGAAGGGGAGAGGGAAAGCAGAGAAGAAGACAGGAACAGTTGGAGAGAAAGGGTAAGTACAGAAAGAGAGAGGAGAATGAAGGAGAGAGGAGAATGAAGGAGAGATAGAAGCAGAAAGTAAGAGAGAAAAGTAGAGAGGGAGAGTGGCAGAGAAGGAGGAGGAGAGGAAGGAGAAAGAAACAGAAGAAAAAAGAAGGAAAAGGAGAAGTACAGAGAGAGGAGGAAGGAGGGGGGGGGAGGAGAATGGAGATAGAACGAAGCAATAATCAAAGATGTATTTATATCGCCATCCTGTTGAAGAAAAATATTAACTGGACGAGCTCTCTCTCTCTCTCTCTCTCTCTCTCTCTCTCTCTCTCTCTCTCTCTCTCTCTCTCTCTCCTCTCGTTCTGTCTCTCTCTATCTCTGTCTCTGCCTGTCTGTCAGCCTCTCTCTCTCTCTCTCTCAATTCTCTCTCTCTCTCTCTCTCTCTCTCTCGCTCTCTCTTCTCTCTCTCTCTCTTCTCTCTCTCTCTCTCTCTCTCTCTCTCTCTCTCTCTCTCTCTCTCCTCTCTCTCTCTCTCTCTCTCTCTCTCTATCTATCTATCTATCTATCTCTATCTCTCTTACTCTCAATATATATATATATATATATATATATATATATATATATATATATATATATATATATATATATATATGCATATATATATATATATATATATATATATATATATATATATATATATATGTATATATATATATATATATATATATATATATATATATATATATATATATATATGTATATATCTAAATAAATGTAAACATGAATATATATATATATATATATATATATATATACATATATATATATATGGTTCATATATATATATATAAATATAAACATATATATACATATATATATATATATATATATATATATATATATATATATATATATATATATATATATATATATATATATAAATATAAACATATATATATATATATATATATATATATATATATATATATATATATATATATATATATATATATATATGCATATATATATATATATATATATATATATATATATATATATATATATATATATATATATACATATATGTATATATCTATATCTATCTATCTATCTATCTATCTATCTATCTATATATATGTATATATATATATATATATATATATATTTTAACAGCCATTCATTCCACTGCAGGGCATAGGTCTCTCTCAATTCACTATTGAGAGATTATGCAGTGGAATGAATGGCTGTTGAAAAAAAAAAAAAAAAATGTATATATATATATATATATATATATATATATATATATATATATATATGCATATGCACACACACAAACACACACATACACACACATACATTTACTCACACCCACACACACACGCACACACACACACAGATATATATGTGTATATATATATATATGTATATAAATATATATATATATATATATATATATATATATATATATATATATATATATATATATATGTATGTATATATATACATATATATCTATATATATTTATATACATATATATCAGCATACATTTATATAATACAAACAAACATACACACATACATATACAAGCCTACTAACACGCACACATTATACCTCCCCAACAGTCCAAGGGTGCCCCCCCCCCCCTATCACCTCTCACCCCCGCCCCCCTCACCCCAAGGGCCGCGGTCGAGGCCCAGCTGCCGTCAGCCGTCAGCGCCAAGCAACAAGTGCACGAGAGGCCGGTGGGGGGGGGGGGGGTAGAAGACGCTTGGGGGAGAGAGAGGAACCGAGACAGGCGAATCGCTTTCTCTTGTCAATACAAACTTTCATTTATTATAATTATAGAGAAAATAGTGATGGTCGTGATAATAACAATTAAGAAATCAATGGTAATGATGATGATAGTGATCAATAAAAGGGTAGTAATAATATTTGCATTGAAATACTGTAATGCCATTATAGTGATGAAAATGGCAGTGACTGAGACTATATATCTGCATTAAGTGTAATAAAGATAATGATAATGATTGTAATAATAATAATAACGAAAAAATATTACTATTATTATCATTATTATTATTACTATTATTATTATTATTATTATTATTATTATTATTATTATTATTATTACTTTTATTATTATTATTATGGTAGTTTTTATTATCATTCTTATTAAAATTATCATTGATAATATCATTATTATTATCATTATCAATATTATCATTATTATTATCATGATTGTAAATATCATTGTTGATTCTAACCATCATTATTATCATCATTATTATTACCATGATTATGATTGATGTTTTTATTGTCAACCATCATTACTATTCACTGTCATTTTCGCCATGCAAATTAATCATTTCCATTTTAATTAGCCGTTGTAATACTCATTATGATTACTGTTTGTATTAATTTAGTTCCGTTGATTTTTTTTATTTTTTAGTTTTTTTTCTACCAATTTGATCATAATACTTCATATTTTGTGATTATCCTCATTTGCATCGTTATCTATATCAGTATCATTATCACAGTCATTTTTGTCATCATTATCATAATTAATATCATCACATCTATTATTACTATTGTCATTATTGATATTACTATTATCACTACTACTATCATAATTATTGTTACTGTCACCATTACTATTACTATTATCATTATTGTTGATGTTGTTATTATTAGTAGTATCAGTATTAGCATTAGTTTTAGTATTAATATTATTGTCATTATTAGTGGTATAAGTAGTAGTAGTAGTAGTATAATCATCATCATCATTATTAATATCTTTATTAATATTATCACCATTATCATTGCTATTGCTATTATCATAATTGATATTATTGTTATTATCATTTTCACTATTATTATCATTATTATCATTATCATTACTACTACTACTATTATTATTTTTTTATTATTATTATCATCATTATCATTATGATCATATCCATTATCATTACTATTATCTTTATCATTATTTATATTATCATTGCTACTACTGTTACCATTATTATCCAAATCTTTACTATTATCACTACTACTTATCCTTATTCTTATTATCATTGTTATTACTAATTATTATTGTTATCATTATTGTCATTATTATCATCGTTATCAGTATCATCATTCTTGTTATCATTATTTCATTATCACTGTTACCCTCATCATTTTATTACATCTGTCATTAGCATCATTATTATTGCTATTATTATTCTCATTATGTTTACTATTATAATGATATTACTAGTATCAATATCATTACCATCACACATAACAAATAATCATGTAAGCTAGAACAGGATTTTAAAGGTGCTAATATGTATAAAGTAAAGACATGTTGATAAATATAAAAAATAATTTATTTTGTACATCATAAAATATCATATATATATATATTTAAGTATAATAATATAACTTGAAAAATAGAATTTGCAACTTAAAAAAACTATACATTAAAGACATTTGTACACTCGGGTAATAGGTGGGCTGAGTCACGGGGGGGGGGGGGGGGGAGAAAGGGAAATATAAAAAAAGGAAAATGTAAAAAGGTGAATATGAGAAAGTACGAAAGACGGAGGAATAAAAAGGCAAGAAAAGGAGGAGTAATGAACAGGAAAAAGGAAAGATGATAATGGCGAAGCAAAGGAGCAGACAATAAAGAAGAAAGAAGGTGAGGAGATGAAAGAATAAAGTAGACATAGAACGGCGAGGAACAGCATAAAGGAAAATGAATGAAAGGCAAAGAAGAAGAACAAAGAAAAACAGAACTTTACCAAAGAAGAAGAGAGAGAGAAGATGGTGAAGATAAACCAGAGAAATAATAGAATAAGAAGAAAACAAGAGACAGAAAAAGGGAAAAGACGAAGGAAGTCCAAGAAGAAACCGAGAAAGGAGGAGGAAGAAAACCACAGACGTTCTGAGAAGGGAAACCGTGCATGAAAGAGGAGAGAGAGGAGAGGGAGACGAGGCCGGAGGCGTGGGGGGGGGGGGGAGCGAGGAGCTACTTCATGATGTCGTCGATGGAGAACCCGCGCCGCTTCTTGGCGCCCTCCGCCTCCTCCTCCGTCTGCAGGAAGGGCTTCTTGGCCGCCGGGAGACTCAGGCCCTCCAGCCGCCGCTTCAGGCTCTCCTCCTCCGCCGGCGCCTCCTTCTTGAGCGGGAAACTGTAGATGGGAATCAGCGTCACGTCCTTCGGCAGCGCGGGCGTGGCGGGCGGCAGCGTGGGCGAGGCGCTAGTGGGCGGCGAGAGGATGGGCGCGGCGAGCAGGGCGGGCGTGGTGATGGTTCTGAGCACGGGCGTGACGGTGACGCTGGCGGGGCGGCTCTCCGCGGGGGCGCTCACCCTGGGCGCGGCGGGCGGGGGAGGCGAGGACTGGGCGGGCGCGGGCGCGGGGCCGTCGTGGGCGTGCTGGGCCTTGTGCACGGCGAGCGTGCGCGCCTGGCAGAAGCCCTTGGCGCACACGTCGCACTTGAAGGGCTTCTCCTTGCTGTGGATGTACTTGTGGTCGCGGAGGTGGTCCTGCCTCCGGAAGGCCTTTCCGCAGACGTCGCACGGGAAGGGGCGCTCGTCCGTGTGGGTTCGCTCGTGGATCAGCAGGTTGTAGCTCTTGGTGAACTCCCGCTGGCAATACTTGCAGATGTAGCGCTTCTTGGGGCGGCTCAGGCGGCCTCCGGGGGTCAGGAGCAGGCGGTTGAGGGCCAGGTCGCCGCTGGCGCCCAGGGCGGCCCACGGCAGCTGCCCCAGGGACCCGTAGCTCTGCAGCATCCCCATCACGCGGGGGTCGGCGGCCAGGGACGTCGACTGCTGCTTGGCGACGGCGGCGACGGAGGCGATGGCGGGGAGGATGGGGAAGGGCGGGAGCAGAGGCAGGAGGGAGGGGCCCCTGGGCACCCAGGGCGTGAAGGCAGACCCTCGATCTCCACCGCCGCCCATGCCCGGGAACTGGAACCCGCACGGACTCGTGGGCGTGGGCGGGGGAGTCAGCAGACCTGTAGGAAGGGACACATGCGGTCAGTACACCTGTTGGCTCGTGGAGGTCGCAGCCTCGCCCGCGAAGCGACACTCGGCGGGCGGGGGAGCCGGGCGCGGGGCTCGTGGCCCTGCCCTGGCTATCTCGCGGGGCACCGAACTCAACGTCATATAATCGTCTCTCTGGCACAGACACCAACCGCCGCTCGAGCAGCATCGCAACGACGGCGGAAAAGCAAAGTAACCTACCCGACTCCTTCTCGGCCGACCGCTCCTCTTCGCGACTCGCGGCCATGGTCCACGCGGCCGACACTTTGCTCCTCTCGACGCCTCGGTTCGGAGCGGCCCAATTCCCGTGCTCGGACTGACTGCTCGGCGGCGCAGAGGCGAGGCGGCGACGAAGAAATGCTATTTGACAGTCCAACTACCTGCACCGAGCGGCAATCACAAGGATACTGAGGTTAGTTGAGGTTGCTAAGTCTTTGTACCGTATTGGGGTCTTAGGACGGTCGCGAGGTGCCGGCTACTCTTTTATTCATTTTATTTCTTCTCCCGGCCATAGAGTGATTACCGGAATTGTACAGTGACTAGAGTTTCTTTTTCAAAAAAATATAATCCTTCGTTAGAAAATGATCAAACTAAATAAGTATACTTGAGTAACTCAGGGGGGATTTTAATCATCTTATTGATAATATTATTGGACGCGTTGGCTACCCTCCGTGCCCATGAGTGAGGTAAGCACTATAGACATAAAAGTACTACAAAAACCTACGTCGGAATCATCGATATTTCTGCATAATTTTCCCCGCAAAACCATCGCAATTCTGGTCGATTCGCCAATCCCAATCGCCAACATATCGCGTCCTTTCAATACACAAGAAAAAAACGAAGAAAACGAGAAACAGAAAATTGA